CGTTATCTACAAATACAATATGACACATCTCCATATGAAAAGACCTGCTATCTCACTGTGCTAAATTTCACACCTCACACTAGCCTGGCTCTGACAGCACATGAATAACCTGAGCAACCTCCACAGGCATCTCAGCAATGCTGGTTTGTTTATTTAAACACAATACATTAAATAATGTTCTTGGAATGAAGAGTATGGCTCCAAGTGATGAGAGTAACATTTCTAGCTTAGCAGGCTAGTGTGCAAATTAACACAAGACAGCTCAACTAATATTTACAAAAGTAAATGGAATTGGAGCAAGAACCAAACTGTAGAACCTTACATATATTTTGCAATGTCCAGCAGTAAAATGGGACTATCACATAAAAGTTGAAAAAAAACTTTGGCCTTGCTCTTTGAATAAGAGCAGCTGAGTGGTGTCTGAGTATTGTATGTTTGTTGGGAAGTCTTGTGTATGTTAAAGAGAGAATATGTGGTGACTGAGGGTTTGAATGGAGAAGGCTGAGTGTACCTGTATATTGTTGTTGAGAGTTATGTGTGGTGGCTGACTGTGGTGTGTGGAGAAGGCCAAGTGTAATGTGGGAGGAGAGTGTGGCTGAGTGTTGCACCGTTTTTGTATGTGTATGTGTGTGTTCTGCTTTCTATCCTTAGAGTAATCCACCTAATGTATATTCTAATTATCATACTAATTACTTATATTTATGTTGCATGTTATGTTATGTTAGTCTAACATTACCTGCTGCCTGACTGTAGACACACGTCAGAAGGAAGCAGAAGGGAAGGCTGTCCTGGTAGTTGCACTTCTTTCCTTCTCCTCCCAGTACTAAACACCAGGGAGAGACCCTCATTCCTTAAAGTATACAGCTGGGGTGAAAAAAGGGAGGGAAAATAAAATGTTGTGCGCGTGCATCTATGGCTATGTTTTAGTATTTATGGAAGTGTGTAGAATATTACATATTCTATATGTTCCTATTCAAATACATATTGAGGTGTGGATGTCTAATGGGTTAAAAAGAACAGATGGTGTTTGCTATTCTGTGCCATGAGGACTTCATGTATTTATATACTTTCTGTCTCCAGGTATTAAGTGGAGGGTACTCATCTACTCATTGGGGTGGGTTCCCCATAAATAGAAGTTGCACTGAGTGGAGGCACTGTGTCAGAACAAGATGTCCCGATCTCTCAACTATAACGGAGGCTCAGGATCCCTGTTAGCGACAGAAGGTGTAACTGCTGCTAACTATGGCCTGTTTGCCCAGTTGACTGGAGCAGGGCAAAAAAGGCTTACATAGTATTTCTGTATATCTGAAACTCCCTGTCGTCTCTCTCTATTTGGGGAGCCAGCTGGTACTAGGGACAACCTGCACTCCCTCCATTTATAACTCTTTATAAATGGAGGAAGTGACGGGTGTCCCAAAGAGAGAGAGGACAGGGAGTTTCAGATATACACAAATGCTACATAGTTACAGCAATAGCTCATACAAATAGCTGTTATTCAATATTCAAAAAAGACTGGAACTCGACAGCAGGTTCAACTCTTTATTAAGTCACTAAAGATGATAATTCAAGAAACTAAAGCAGGTTGTAGTAGAATTTGAATAATCAATATGTGTATCTTTAAGATTTCTTCTTAAAATACAATGTCACCTTAAAGGGACACTATAGTCACCCAGACCACTTCAGCTCAATGAACGTGAAACAAAATGGAAAATTGAGAAATGTTGAATGAATACAATTTCTTGCACAAGTAAATAGTCTGTTGCTAAACCTCATCTACTCATTGGGGTGGGTTCCCCATAAATAGAAGTTTCACTGAGTGGAGGCACTGTGTCAGAACAGAACAAGATGTCCCGATTCAAGACTCGATTCTCAAAATATGCTCATTCACAGTCCTGGCAGGGGGCTTGTTCACTACTAAAGACATGTTTTTAAAATAAACAACCAATAACTCAACCAAGTCACACAAAACACTAATCCAAATAGTCAATTTTATGGTAAATTGAAAATATACATGAGTTCATCAGTAGGTATGCAGGAATCAACAACACAAACGTATCATTAACTGACAGTATGACACACAAAATTTGTTGACATGTTAATCTCTCCACAAAGTTAATTTGCATTTATAATATGGAGCAAAATATTAGTTTTAGGAATAATGCATAAGCTTAGTGGCAGTATAAAGGTTATATGAAGATAATATTTTGAACTTGTACTAATTATGGACTCTCTCCTTTATTTCATAACACAAGATGATGTTCGGTATCCAGTTTGACAAATATAGTATAAGCGTATGCAGAAACAATTTTAATAAACCAGTAAACCAGGGGTCTCAAACTCTTGTATTTACAAAAGTGAGTCTCATCAAGACAAACAACAGAGTCAAGTTTTTTGATATCATGGGGGTCATGCTTCGTCATAAACGTGGTAGATGTATGCTTCGGTTGTCGTGGACAAGGTGGATGTGAAGAAGTTGTGGCATGATCCTGTGAATCATAAGGGAGGAGGGAGAAAGAGGGGAAAACAGAGCAACAGTAGTAAGAGAAAGTGTACCAAAAAATGGTACAATCAATAAGTTGTCAAAGCGTTAGCATAACAAAATTTAAAACTGTAATGTCTGTGAACATTAGAGCAAAAATATTACTACTGACAATTAAATAAAAAATATGTGTCTCACTCGTAACTAGGCAATTAGTGAAAATAAAAAACACAATAAAGGGGTTTGGAATTTAGAGCTGTAAAAAAATAGGTGACACCTACGTTGTATCATGTATACCAAGCATGTCAAACTCGCGGCCCACAATGGACATCTTTGCGGCCCGGCGAGCACATGCTTGGTGTTAAATCAGAGTAGGCACCTGCTTTCCCCACATTGCATGTGCCTACTCTGCTAAAATTTACCCAGCCGGGGAGGAGGGCCAGCGAGGGAGCTCAGTGTTCCTGCTCCCTCACGCACGCTGACGTCATATTCCGGCACCCGGCATCACTAAGCTATGCGCGAGGGAGCAGTGAGGAGCAGAAAGAAGATCTCCTCTGGATCCCAGGGAGAGGTCCTACATCAGCTACCAAAGGTAGGGAGCAATAAAGAAAATGATGTGTGTGCAAGAGTGTGTGTGTGTGTATCTGTCACTTTGTGTGTGTGTGTCGGTGAGTATGTGTGTGTGTGTCTGTGTCTATCAGTGAGTGTGTGTCTGTCAGTGAGTGTCTGTCTTTGTGTCTGTCCATGAGTGTGTGTGGCTGTCTGTGTCTGTGAGTGAGTGAGTGTATGTCTGTCAGTGAGTGAGTCTGTGTGTGTGTCTGTCAGCGAGTGTGTGTTGGTCAGTGTTGGGATGGCCGCGGCTGGACAGTGGAGTACCTGGAGGGGCATGGAGACACGCAACGCCACGTCACATTCCTCGACATGCTCCACCTTCACAGGAAGGTGCTGGGATTTAGTAGAGGGGGAGGACTAGGATTTAGTTTATGGGGGGGGACTGGTATTTAGTAGAGGGGGATGCTGGGGTTTTTTTTATACTGTACTTTTCAAAATAAAACTATGTTTCTATGAAAATTTTGCTGCCCACATAAACCTAAACTTTGTGCTAGACTGAGTTTGACATGCTTGATATAGACCTTTCATAAAAGGCAATTGGTTGTTAAAGTCAGCTGTGCTGGCAGTGGCGTAAGTCTCATATTTAAACGGGGCTTATGGGGTGGCTAAGCCTGAATTATGGATATATTTTTGTTTGTTTATTTTTTGTTTTCCTGGTGTTATGTACACCATTTCTCATATGTCATTATATCTTACAGCTGTAAGTCAACATAGATAATTAAAAAAGATAAACCTGTCTGTTTTTTTGTGTGTTTTGTGTTTTTGTTTCTCTTGGCTAGTGCCAACTAGAATCTAATCACAATTAACATAGTGAACATTTGCCCAGTTAGGCATTACTTTGAGTTTGCCAGATTGGACATCATTTTCAGAAGTGGCACCAACTGGTCATCCTTCACATGGGCCCTGCAAATGAGGAAAACAATCACCTTGGCAATCTAGTATTCCTCCATTTGGTATGTGCTTTCAGCTGTGAGAATCCAGCAGTCAGTGGGTCTGTAGACTCCTGCACCAGGCCCCATTCCTGTTTGGTGGTAGGGCCCTCCTCTGGCAATTTCATCGTTGTCAATGATCCATTGCACCACACTAAAAACCTGATGGGGTATCCCCAGCGGTAAGTCAATATGTGGTAACCTGTGCAAATTCTCTCCTCTTTGCCACTGTAAATCTGCAATAAAGACAAGTGCCCGAAAAAGGATCTAGGAGAAGCTTTACATTTTTGAAGGTCGCCATCAGAGCTTTGTTACATTTATGGTGTGTATATATATATATATATATATATATATACATACATACATACATCACATCGCTTCCCAATCCTTTAGGGGTCCAGGGGCTTAGGTATCCTGTGAATTCAATCTATTCTCCACTCTGTCACTGGGAAAGCAGGGACCAGAGTTTTAAATAGAGACATCAAGAAGTCCTACAGATCCTTGTGATAGACAGACTTAGAGAATCCTTTTGTTGTTCCTCCGGAAGCTATCCTCTGAATTCTGCTTCCAATGCTGTATTTTTATCTTCGAGCCTACGCTCCTTGTGGTCTGTTCTCTCTCCCAGTGTCTGGATGTCTCTGTGTAGGTTTCTAGTAATCACCTGAAAATCCACCTGAAGATTGGAACAGAGGCTCTGCAGAATCTTGTGGATCCTTTTCTCAGAAGCAGGCACATGCTCAAGGAGTTGTGATATAATGTCCCACTCAGATGCCATGTTGGATTGTGGCAATGGTAAGGTCACATAGGTGCCATTGGCAGCATGCCTTTCAAGTTTCTGTACCAAGGCGTCACACTCATGCAGGTAGGTATTTCACCACGGTTGTCGCTCAGGCATGGAATTAGTCGCTTCGGCCTAGAAGGACTCGGGGCTGAAAAGACATACAGCTATTCGCACAGACGTCCAGACACACATCTCCAACAGTCTAGCTTTTAATGTCATATCTGTAGAAAAAGAATTGCCAGAACCATACATAGTATATACATGCATATGAAACATTACCCAGTCATAACAGATGCATCATACACATACATTAATTTTAGAAAATACACATACACTGCATACAAATAATGCATAAAACTTGCTATTATCCAAAAGGCATGCTTAGTCTCTCTCCTGTTTTAATAAGCTCACATTCCATGATATAACATACTGACAGGGTTATTGACTAAAGTGAGAATTCAAGGTGAATCCAAAGCAAAATTCTAATTAAAGGTCAAAATAGTTGACCTGGAAAACCTCTCTAGGTGAGCTACTCATTCAGTTCAGCTACTCTGGCCTTAAATTTGAAAATCACTGAGAATTCACTTTGAATTTTCACTTTAGTAAATAACCCCTGAAAATAATGCTGAAGATTTGAAAACTGAATTGTAAAATTCGGACCAGATTTGGGAAATTGGGAAATTTCTCAGCTACAGTCACAGGTTGATATTTTTTAGCCTTAATTTCACAATTTGGTTTTGAATTCCCCAAAATTAACTGCTTAGTACAGGCATAGGCAACCTTCGGCACTCCAGATGTTTTGGAATACACCTCCCATGATGCTTTGCCAGCATTATGGGTGTAAGCGCATTATGGGGGACGTAGTCCACAACATCAGGAGTGCTGAAGGTTGCCTATCCCTGGCTTAGTAAATACATCTTATAATATTTCTGTAAAATAAATTAAATTAAATACATTTGATATCCCATTTTTATGATGTGTGTAATTGAATCTGGCTGTGAACAAGTATCATATTATATATTATCAACAATCAAATTATCTGACCCCTGATCAATCAGGCTTTCGTCCAAATTACTCAACTTCAACTGCCCTCTTAAAAGTTTGCAATGACATCCAAATTGGCATGGAACAAGGAGACTTAACCGGAGCAATTTTCCTTGTTTTTGCCAAGGCCTTTGACACAGTAGACCATGGCATTCAAAAACGTAAAAATTCAGGCATTGGTGATCATCTGCTAACTTGGTTTCGATTTAATGTTTCAGACCGATTGCAATATGTGACCATTTCTGATAGCGCCTCTTTCCCTCTTCCAGGCACGTGTGGTGTTCCCCAAGGTCCATACTCGGCCCCCTACTATTCACATTATTTATAAATGATCTGCGTAACGTCTGCAAATCCTAAACTGTACACATGTATGCAGACGACACCAATCTATGCTAATAAACCAAAGCTTCCACAGCTTGAGGCTCTGCTCCAAAACCAATTCACAGAGGTAGAAAAGTGGATAGTTCCTAAATACTGACAAAATTGTTACAGTGATCTTTGGAACTGTACCTAAATTGCGTAAACTAAAAAATAAACAACTGTGTATCAGAACAAATACAAATAGCACACTGACCGCAGTCTGCTCTTTTAAATATCTAGGTATGTTGCTAGACTCCAATCTATCCTTTGGCCTCACATTGAAAAAATATCTTCAAAACTTTACCCAAAACTAGGTGCCCTGTACAGAAACAAATCTTGCCTAAGCCTTACAGTAAGGAAACAGATAATGCTAATGCCAGCCATTAACCCCTTAAGACCGCAGGGCGTACTATTACGTCCTCTAATAGGCGGCTCTAAACGCCGCCGGGCGTAATAGTACGCCCTCCGGTCTTTCTGTACTTACCCGGTCGCCGGCGGTCCCACGCCGGCGATCGCGGTGGGGGGGACTCCCAGGGAGCCCCCCGCAGCACGACCGTCCTCCAGGAAGCCCCCCGGCGGTGTGAGAGTGGGGTCCTAGCGAGGACCCCACAATCACATGGCCGGGTATAGCTGGCTTCTGTATTGCCAGCAGGGGGGCTGCCTGTAATTACAGGGGGTCCCCCTGCTGGCTGAAAATAAAAGTAAAATAAGTTAAAAGTGTAAAAAAATAAAATTATATATACTTAGATCATATATATATTATATATATATGATCAAAGTATATATATACACATATACATACACACATGTACACCGTCTAGGTGTATTTTACTATTAATATATATATAATTATATATATATATTAATATCAAATTACACGTAGACTGATAATGATTAAATATATATATAATTATTGTTATATATATATTTATATATATTATAAAAAAAATTAAAATGTAAATACGTTAAAAAATAAAATTACAAAAATAATTAAAAATAAATAATTAAAAAAATATATAGATGTGTGTTATTTCGTTCTAACTGTATTGTGAAATTAATATATATATATATATATCAAAATACACATAGAACGAAATAATATATATATTTATACACATAAATATATACGTATATATCACTATATATATACCTATATATAAATAAAAATATTTTTAAAAAATTATATAGATATATACATATATATACACATACGTATATATATACATATATTGATTCTACATATATATTTATGTAATATTTTTACATAATTAGGTATCTTAATTAATTACAATTAGCAGGACCTGCATGACAACCCATGCCGAAAGTAAAGGGAATTTAATTTGCTAGCACTATATTTAACCCTATAACTTTCCGAGACACCATAAAACCTGTACATGGGGGGTACTGTTCTACTCGGGAGACTTCGCTGAACACAAATATTAGTGTTTCAAAACAGTAAAATGTATTACAACGATGATATCGCCAGTAAAAGTGACGTTTTTTGCATTTTTCACGCACAAACAGCATTAAACGGACAATATTATTGCTATGATACTTTTTACTGTTTTGAAACACAAATATTTGTGTTCAGTGAAGTCTCCCGAGTACAACAGTACCCCTCATGTACAGGTTTTATGGTGTTTTCAAAAGTTACAGCGTCAAATATAAGGCTTGCGTTTCATTTTTTTCACATTAAAATTCGCCAGATTGGTTACGTTGCCTTTGAGACCCTATGGTAGCCCAAGAATGAAAATTACCCCTATGATGGCATACCATTTGCAATAGTAGACAACCCAAGGTATTGCAAACGGGGTATGTCCAGTCTTTTTTAGTAGCCACTTAGTCACAAACACTGGCCAAAATTGGCGTTTTTTGCATTTTTCACACACAAACAAATACTAACGCTAACTTTGGCCAGTGTTTGTGACCAAATGGCTACTAAAAAAGACTGGACATACCCCATTTGCAATACCTTGGGTTGTCTACTATTGCAAATGGTATGCCATTATGGGTGTAAATTTCATTCCTGGGCTACTATACAGTCTCAAAGGCAACGTAACCAATCTGGCGAATTTCAATTTCAAATGTAACGTGCTATATTTGACCCTGTAACTTCCCAAAACGCCATAAAACCTGTACATAGGGGGTACTGTTTTACACGTGAGACTTTGCTGAATACAAATATGTGTATTTTATTGCAGTAAAAGCAAACAGTATTATGACACTGACCGTTAAAATGTCATGTAGAACTAAAAAAATCCAAATAAATCGTATTTTCTCCCATTTTTTTCACATTAAATTATGTTTCATAGCTAAATATTTGATATTAAATGAAAGCCCTGTTTCCCCTGAATAAAATGATATATAATAAGGGTGGGTGCATTTACTATGAAAGAGGTGTATTACGGTTGGACAGACATGTAGCGCAAATGCCAGGTTTTGTTTACATTTTGTTTTGTTCACAACGTGTACATTTGGCTCCGTCCTTAAGGGGTTAATTATGGGGATGTAGTGTATGCACCCGCACCGCAAACCCACCTTAATAAACTTAATACGTTATATCATTCATTCTGACACTTTGTACTAGAATGTAATTACTTTACCCACCACTGTAAATGTGCATAAGAGCATTTCTGGGAAGCTCACACCCTACCTGAGTAGAATGCTCTCACTGGCTGTTCCCACCTCCTATAATCTCGGCAATACAAAAATAAAGTGGCTCGATCCTCTTTTTCCTACAGAGCACCGCAATTATGGAATAACCTCAGGGACACAGTCAAATCTTCATTCAATCTAAATTCTTTTAAGAGATCTATGGCAGTATACCTCAGCACAGAATGTCATGGTTGAATATATTTATTATCTGTTATGTATTAAATGTATATATATATATATATATATATATATGTGTGTGTGTGTATATATATATTGTTTGTATATGGTATTTTTGGAATATTGTATCCTATTGTAACAATGCAATGTTTTGTGGACCCAGGACATATTTGAAAACGAGAGAAATCTCAATGTATCCATCCAGGTAAAATATTTTATAAATAATTCAGCAACCAGTGCAGTGCAGAACATATAAGCAAGAATGGGTCTTTCCATTTAATGTACAGGACACATCTAACTAAATGGCAAAATGTTCTATTCTAGTGTTTACACAACCACCAAAGAAAAAACGGTTATTTGCAATCAATTGCAATCACTTAACTGGGAGTTCTCTGAAAAATAAAGTGTGTACAAATATAAGAATTTTCATATTCTTAAACCTTTAAAGCAATATCTACGATTTCAAAACGACTATTTCTTTCTGCTTTTAATGTATTAAACATGAGCTCACGCATGCTATTGTAGTGTTAAATAACACACAAAACTAGTCAGCGGATCACAGTGGAATCTGTAAGTACTAAAGTATATAGCAGAAGTGTAGATATAACTACATGACTTGTCTACAAAGTCCTTAATATAGCCCTCTGATTAAGTCCCTTGCCAAATACATTATTTTTGCATCAGGATCCCCTAGTCACAGCCCCCGGCAATGTACCTCGACCTCTAGTTATTGTGTGAAGTCATCGTGTAAAGCTCATATATCAAACAAACTACATGCATTTCTTGATTTAAACCCAGGGGTTTTAAGACATGCACTCTAATGATAGAAATGTTTCTTCACCATTGAAATATTCCCCATGATTTAGGCATGAAGATATCTAGGCTTACACCAGAATAGCACATCCACAGGATTCCCAGCTGACATGTAGACACACAATTGATGGGAACATGCTTTGACATTTTTTTCTTTTGGGGAATTGAATGCTTTTTTTATGAACACGTAAAAAATATTTAATGAAGGTAACTGTACAGTTCTGCTGCTGTGTTCTGCTTTTCCTATATTTGAAAACCAAAATGAATTGGCTCGATACGAATGGCGACGTTTAACAGTACCAGGAATTAAAATCAACACAACTGTAGTCAAAAGTAATATAATAATCTGTGATTATACTGTATATTATACTATACATTATCTGATATATGAATAATATATGT